TCATACTAAATAGACTTCATCGTGAAGTCTACTATTTAACTTTTTATTTGAAAACGCTTTTTAAATATATAAGGAATTTTTAAGATTCTCTTGAAACAATTAGTTGATTTAATCTGATTAGTTGCTGGTGTGTTAGTTTGACATGCTTATTCGTTGTATAGCTCGTGAAAACGGTTTTCTTGTGAAATTTGAATATTAGACAATACTAGGTAGACTTCTAGGTGAAGTCTACCACTAAAGTCTACAATGAAGTCTAATGCGGTTGTTTTTGTTTACTTGCAGGAAATGGTTTACATTGCATCTGTTTATGGAGAATGGGTGATAAAGGACAATTTGTCTTGGCATTTTGAGGTTGATTATCGGAAAGGAGGTAGAATGTTCTCGTTGAGGGATGGATGTACACATGATGAGCTCATTCAAATGGCTTTAGAGGATTATTCGCTAACCAAGATCGGACACCGTTTGGAAATATCATATCCATTACCAGAAGTGTTCACTCAGCAAACGTGTAATGATTCTCCGCCCATGTTTGTCACAAACGACAGACAAGTCGAAAGCTTGATCGAGCTAAGTAGAAATCATGGTGTACGACTTTGTGTCTCTAGCAAAGGGAAGGATGAAGACAACGTAGATGGACCTTTGGATGAAGACTTAGATGAAAATCTGGATGATGAGTTGAAGGAAGAGTTCGATGAAGAGTTGGATGAAGATTGGAGCGCAGAACGAGAAGAAGTGTCTGAAGAGTCGGGTTGTGATGAGGATGATGTAAGGGAAAAAGCTTATGAAGGCGATGATGACACACACGCGGACTACAGTCAGTATGGGAAAATTAAAGATGAAGACGTTGTCATTGATGTTCCTTTCGATGATCCCCGCCTTTTAGGGCGTGGTGTGGGTCATCGTATAGGAATTGATAATTGGGAAGACAATATTTACGAGCACCAGAGCTTTGATACCAAGGCCCAACTTATCTCTGAGTTGCGTTTGACCGCGGTGATGACAAGATTCTCATTCAGGATAGCTGCGTCTACAAGAAAAGTGTTTGTGGCCAAATGCAAAGTCGCTGGATGCAAATGGAGGCTTAGAGCGGCCGTAAAGAACGAACCCTCCACGTTTTGGGTGACAAAGTACGTGAAGTCGCATACATGTTCTGTTTCTGATCGAGTACGTAACCATAAACGTTGTACAACGAAGTATATTGGAAAGCTTTTTCTTGATCGGACAGGGCTCATTGAAGGAATTGTGCCGCAACACATAAGAGACTCTATGAGGAGGATGTTTGGAATGAAGCTCGACTATACGGCTTCATATAGAGCTTTGAAACATGCCCAAGACTTGGTGTGGGGAACAGCTGAAGAAGGATACGCGAATCTGCCTTCTTACTTGCAAAGAATCAAGGATGCAAATCCGGGAACTGTGACTGACCTTGTCTGTGACTCACAGGACCGTTTTAAGTACTGCTTTCTATCACTCGCCGGTTCTATATCTGGTTTTCAGTATTTGAGGAGAGTGATTGTGGTTGATGGGACTCATCTTACTGGGAAATACGGAGGAGCTCTACTCGTGGCTGCCGGACAAGACGCCAACTTTCAAATATTCCCGCTAGCTTTCGCAGTGGTCGATGCTGAGGATAGTGAATCATGGGAATGGTTTTTCAACAAGCTTAGAGATTGTTTCAGGCAATTTCCGCCAATGGCGATAGTCTCTGACCGTGCCGCTGCCATAGCTAGAGCCATTGGAATCGTTATGCCCTGGGCATCAAGAGGAATATGCTACTATCACCTCCAAGGTAATATAGTAAAGGACTTCCACGCAAAGGAGATAATGTATATGGTTAAAGGTGCAGCCTACGCCCATACGGTGCCTGAATACGTTACATGGACCTCATAAGAGCTGCGAACCCTGCCCTAGCTACTTACTTAGAGAGCAGATCCGAAGTTATGGTCGAGAGTTCATTTTGAAGGTGATAGATACAATATAAAGACGAGCAACATCGCAGAATCTATTAACTCGGCTGTCAAGAAAGCAAAAGGATTACCTATTCCTCGTCTTTTGGAGTTTATTAGGGAGAAGCTCGGGAGATGGTTTAGCAAGAGGCGGGAGGATGCACTGAGTCTCACAACCAGACACAGCAGAGGTGTTGAGTACATATTGGCCATACGGTCTTACTATGCGGGAAGTATGATCGTAGATCGCATAGACGCTTGGCGCTTTCATGTTAAAGGCGGGAGACGAGATTGTAATGTCGACTTGGAGAATCGAACATGCTCGTGCGGTGTGTATAACGTTGAAAAAATCCCTTGCTCTCATGTTATTGCAGCTGCAGCCGAAGCTAACGTCGACATGTCCTATTACGTATGCGCCACTCATTCGACGCCTTCCTTGTTCTCAACATATGCACATCCGATTTACCCCAAAGAGGGAACTGACTCCCACGTGAAGCCTGTTCGCTGTTTGCCTCCAGGGGAGAGTGTCCCTTCTGGAAGGCCGAAGAAGTCGAGGTGGCAAACTTGGCTAGAGATGTCTAGGAAGAAAAACACAAAACCGAGGAAAACGCATAAGAAGTACAGCTGCTCTAAGTGCAAGGAACCTGGTCATACTCGCCCCAATTGTGTAAGTTTATAAAGCTGTCCCTTCATGCTTTGCATCCACATTGAGAGGAGCTGACATCTTTCATTTTCTGCACTACACAGGTCGCTGAAGACTGACTTGTGATTTTAGTTGTTCATGAAGTCTGACGAAGTGAAGTCTATCTATGAAGTTTACTTTGTGGCCAATTTGTATGTTTGTTCGTGTTTTAGGTGGATGAAACGGAGAAAAACACTGGTTTTTAGTTTTCGTGAAGTCTGACAGAAGTCTATTAGGAAGTCTATCTATGAAGTTTACTTTGTGGCCAATTTGTATGTTTTGTTCGTGTTTTAGGTGGATGAAACGGAGAAAAACACTGGTTTTTAGTTTTTCGTGAAGTCTGACACAGAAGTCTATTATTAAGTCTACCTATAAGTTTACTTTGCGGCCAATTTGTATGTTTTGTTCGTGTTTTAGGTGGATGAAACGGAGAAAACACTGGTTTTTATTTTTCGTGAAGTCTGACACAGAAGTCTATTAAAGTCTACCTATTAAGTTTACTTTGTGGCCAATTTGTATGTTTTGTTCGTGTTTTAGGTGGATGAAACGGAGAAAACACTGGTTTTATATTTTTCTTGAAGTCCCAGAAGTCTATCTCTGAAGTGGAGGAAAAGTTACGAAACTCAATAACATTATACCAAGTGCACAATATACCAAAACAATAGACTTCTGAAATGTGAAGGCCGATCAGCGATAGATTACAAAAGAATAATTAGCCTACACCCATCATCGGGTTCTAAAGAGCATTAGTTTACGGGATTACACCTACACCTTTCATAATCTCTCGTCATACAAATCGACATTGTCCCAATCATCTGGGTCCTCGACCGGTCCACGGCAGTTGATCTCATGGTACATATCAGACGCAATCTGCTCCCTAAACATGGTGATGTTTTTCTGACACAACGTCTTCGGAAATGCGGCATATCCGACTGCCAGGCACTCGATGAACTTGAGGACAAACACGCCACAATCTCCAGCCCCCACTTGCTGCGGCACATCCTTACTCGGACGGCTGTGCGTGTACTTCGCATCGAAGTAGACGCATTTGTCCTCAGCCTGAGCCGCGGAGTGCATAAGATTCGGCATCATCACCGCATAGGGTTCCACCAACAAGTCCATTTCCGCATCATCGAGCCAGTCCACCATACTGTCGTAGATGGTAATGTGCCTTTTGGGTATGGAGACATGCAGCGCGACCCAATGCTTATTTTGATATTCAATGGAATGAATAAATCATCAACATCATAACCCCATCGCTTATTGCTGGGCTGGCTTTTCGGGAGATTACCAAAGTACCAGTCCAGCGAATTAGGAGGCAGCATTTGACATCTCTGAAACCTGGGCCAGTCCCTTTCCCAAAATTGAGTGATATGGCTGTTAAGGAAGCAGATCCTATCATTTTTAAACAACTCTGGTCGCGTTGCTAGGCGGTGAGTCATCATGGTGGCCCAGGACTTCATATGCTGCAATGGAAACAAAGAATTCGACTATGAGGACTAAATATGAAGTCTATGTCATAAGTCTAACAGTGAAGTCTACTTGTGAAGTATATTTACGAAGTCTAACAATTAGAACGTACGCTATCCGATAGCCATTGAAACCCCGTGAGTAAAGTAAACCACCAGTGCCATTCCGGGTAATCGAACTTGTCCGGCTCCAGCGCTGTAGCTGCAGAATAACCCCTGAAACATTGGTAAATTCTCGTAAGCCTCTATAATTTGGTCAAACAACGAAGAGACAAAAGAGTTTAGGGGCTCACGGTAATCCGGAGACGAATGCCCGCATTGGTGTTATCCTTTCCTCGAGAGGTCGAGCAAATGGATTATACCCTAGAGGTTCATTGCCACCGGTTGCTTTCTTAGGTTCAGGTGCTTTCTTAGGTTCAGGTGCTTTCTTCGGATTAGCTGCTTTCTTCGGAGGAGGTGATTTCTTCGGATCTGCTTTCTTCGGATTAGCTGCTTTCCTCGGTTTAGAGATGATCTTAAGTGATTTCGGTGGGGAATTGGGTATCTCCGGGGGGTTGTTTAGGATGATCCTTCTAGCGGTGCTGTTTCCTTGGAACTCACCTTTCTGAGTAAACGCCAGCTTCCTTACTCTCTCACTTTTCCCTCTTGCCATAACATTAGCCGCCTTGATCTGCTCTTCCTGTTGCCTTTTCTCTTCGGCTTCCTCAGAATCAGTTGGAATATGTGTCCGGAGCCAAGTGCAATCCGTATCTTCCTGTTAACATTGCTCAAACACAAGAGAGATAGAGAGAGACAAAACAGATAATGAGTCACTAGAAATTTGAACTTTTATTTAAACAGGAGGGAAAGTGTACAACGCAACGCAACACACTACAAACAGAAACATACACACATCACTTGTTCTTTTTCACAGCGACCCTATGACTCCTACGCACATATCTCTTTTCAACTACTTTATCAGAGTTTTTAGATCTACGTGGAGAATGAACGGTACTAACCGTTCCACCAGGCGGAGCCGTCTTCCCTTCACCGGCATCGGACTTATCCGGCTCCTCATCGGACTTCTCCTCATTCTTCTTCTCCAGCTCCTCATTCTTCTTCTCCAGCTCTTCATTGGCCTTCGCAGAATCCTCATTGGACTTCGCAGTATCCTCACTGGACTTCACAGAATCCTGAGCCTGAGGATGCGAAAGCTTCTTGACAATCCTCCCTACCACAGCGACTTGAGCGGTGAGGACCTGAATCTTTTCCTGGGTCTTACTCATCTCCTCGAAGTGTTTTTTGGTGAAGTCTTTAAAAAGCTCCTCAATCTTCGCCTCAAGACCTTTCCAGCCAGCACCAGAGGCCTCCGCAGGTGAACCATCTGAGGTCCGAGCTCTTTTGACACTTATCGCTTCATCATCATCAGCCTCATCAGAGAGACTCCTCTTGCCATGAGACTTCTCTGACTTCACAGACTTCTCAAACTTCACCTTCTTACTTCACCTTCTTAACCGATATCCCTTCTCTAACCCAGTCAGCTGGTTTCCACACCCATCCTCCACCAAATTCCCCAAGCAAGGCCTTGATGATGTTGTCCACCTTCTCGTCATCTATTTCCTTGTCCCAACGTGGGTACACGTCTGCCTTGTCCACCATTACCATGTGATTGAAAAGCACCTGCAAAACCGTTATCAGAAAAGTCAAGAATTTTGGATATTATGATTAATATGCAGAGAGTACAAGGCAAATGAATTACCTGCTTCTTCATGGTTCCGATAACATATCTCTTCCCTCTGATTCCATTGAATGCTAGCAGCGGTGGCTCAGGATTATTTGGCCTCGGATCACCGTTTTCTTCTCCGAACCTCGGCATAGCATAGTACGCCCACACTTGCACGACTTCAGCAAAGCCTTCGAGGCTGAATGGCTTGGACACGTCTGCTTTCTTTATGGACTTGATGAGGGTCTTGAAAGCTACTCGCCCCCAGGGATAGTTTTCAAACTTCTCCAAGTCCATAACTTGACTAGCCAGTGCTACTCGTGTATGAGTGGAACTTTTGCGAGCATCAATGAAGCCAGCGTATACGGCCAAAAAACCAAGTCTCAGCCTATCCTCTCTGCTCCACTCTCCGGCCCACTGGCACGCTGCTAAGAGTTCGTCAACGCTCGGACCAAGCTTCTCATTCACACCAAGCTTCCGCCAGAACTCTTTCATCTCGTCTGTGTTAACAGTCTCTGGCTTCGTCAGCGCTTCTTTATACTCGCAGTTAAGCCCGGTGATGTGTTCAAACTCGTTCAGAGAAAATCGCACTGGCTGTACACCCACGGCACTCCATATCTCATACTTCTTCTTGCATGCTACTTGCATAGTGAGCATAGTCTGTGCCACCTTCGATGCCCAATTAAACTCGAGCTTCGTGAACCTGAAGAGGGGTCCCAGCTTAGAATTCTCAAGCTCATCCCATTCATCTTCAAGTGTGGTGTGCATTTGAGACCACAGTGCAGTGTTCTTGCTATAGTAGACAACACTGCGATCATAATCCGGTTCTTCTCCTTCTGTGAACAACCTCCTAGGAAATGTCACGGCGTCCATACTGAAAACACATTGAAAATATGAGAAATTAGGAAGTCTACAATTTTACACGGCATAAATAAAGTCTAAATATGAAGTCTAACTATGATGTCTAACATATGATGTCTAATTATGAAGTCTAACTATGATGTCTAACTATGATGTCTATCAATTCTAAAGGTGAAGTCTGTACTTTAAGTCTGCTCTACTCTAGCCAACCGCCGCTAAAGAGCGGCTAACTAAACCCTAACAATAGACTTTTACCTTATTCTTTGCGGTTATGAGGGCCAGCAACGGCGGCGGATACTACTAAGAAGCGCAACGACGGCGGATACTACTATCCGGCAACGGAGACCTGCCACAGATCTACAATCGATTAGTCCATGGTTTGAAGGGCGTAAGCAGAGAGAAAAAAGTGAAAGGGAGATAACTAACCGGCGGTGCGATTTAATAGGTCGTTCGATTCCACAGCGGCAACACGGACAACGGCAACACGGACAGCGGCAACCAACGGTGGCGGAAGGGTTCAAAAGAAGATTCCACTGTGAGTATAACGACAGTAGAGGGAAACAGACACAACACGTATATCACTGATATATGAATATGACTTACAGAAGTATACTTCGGAGGAGGAAGGGGAAAAGGCGGCGGCGACGATAGTGGGTCTGTCTTTCTTCTTCGACGGCGACGGTGGGCGGAGAGAACATGCAATCGCCTATCCGACAAAGAGAGAGAACGGAACGGACTTGGGTTTGCGAAAGTGAAATGTGAAAGTGAAACCCTGATTTTGGGTTTCTCACTTTCGATTAGGGCCGGCTAATTTTGGTTAAACCCAATTACAACAAAAATTATAATTTCCTTGACCGGTTCTGTTCAAAAACCGGAATTGATGTACAAAGTCTACTCGTGAAGTCTACAAATTGAACTTTTAATGAGAAATTTATTCGCCCAAAATATTTCGTTTCCCGCCCTAATAATTTCGTTTCCCACTCGTTTTTTGAATAAAAGACTTCATAGCAAAGTCCAACTATGAAGTCTACCGATGAAGTCTGACTTACCCTAAACCCTAAATCGAATTTTTGAGATCAAAGCTATAGAAAACATAAATTATGTATATAATCACAATTTACATTATAAACTATAAATTCATTAGCTTTAATCGTTAAACAAACCACAAACAATTTTTTATGTCAAAATTCTCTAAACCCTAACAATCATACTCATAAACCCTATACATTGTACCTCAAACACTAAGCTTGATGAATAGACTTTAAACAGGGTAAAACAGACATTGTGGCTAGCGTTTTTTTCTTTGTTCATAAGGGCTTGATTTGTAATTCTACATGCCCAGAAGACTAGTTTTGCTCTAAATGCAATATAGGGTCTAGTTTTGCATTTAAAATCAAATTGTGCACTATATTTGACAATTCCCCCTTAATTAAATCTAAAAGAAAAATACACAAACTTTTTTTTATTCCAAAAATATACATTGACTAATTTTGGAACCTATATTAATACACAAATTTCAAAATTTGGTAACTTTTCAACCAAGATTATCAGCTCCGTTATTCTATATCGCCACGCCAGCGCAGGAGAGATGGCCATGTGGCAGTTCTAAAAAATCTCCCAAATTCTCTCCTCCTCCCCTCTCTCTCCTCTTTTACGTCTGAAAATTAAACACCAAAACTCATCGTCTCCTCTTCCTCTTCTCTGCTCCGTTTTAGATTCTTGGAAACATTCAGTGAATCTTCTAACTTTCACAAACTCAATCATTTTCATCTTCAAGCAGAAGAAGCGTCGCGAAGGTCTTCAAGCCACGCAGCAACCTCAGTTCGCTCCTTCCGCCGATTCTGCTGCTTCTACCGTCGACAAAAAGGTGAAATCACTATGGATCTGGATTCCGATTTTAAGGATTAGTGTTGGATTTTGAACTAATTTAGATCGTTTCCGATTTGTCTTCGTAGTTGGAGAGTTTGCCTTCCATGATTGGTGGTGTATGGTCGAAGGAGAGAAACTTACAGCTCGAAGCGACTACTCAGTTCCGGAAACTGCTTTCTATTGGTAAATTTTGCTATTATCTGTATGTGGTTTTAAGCTTAGATTCGATTCCACAAGTTCTTGAGATGACTTTTGTGTGTGTTTTACTTTGGTAGAGCGTAGTCCTCCAATCGAGGAGGTGATAGAAGCTGGTGTTGGGCCTCGGTTTGTGGAGTTTCTCATGAGGGAGGATTATCCACAGCTCCAGGTTTGGTGCATCCATCATGTATCTGTCACATTTGTGTACAACAGATTAGGCTGTTGGTTTCTCAGAGTGATGATGTCCTTGAGCAGGTAAAGTTTGCGATTATGATTTTTGGTCATTACAGAATTTCAGTGACTAAGTATCTTCTAGAGTTTTTGTAGTCTTAATCTGTTTATGTGGAAGGCTGTTTGGGCATTAGGGAATGTTGCTGGTGACTCTCCACGATGCAGAGATCTTGTACTAAGTCAGGGAGCTTTGTTACCACTACTTTCTCAGTTGAATGAGCATGCTAAACTTTCAATGCTGAGAAATGCTACTTGGACCCTCTCAAACTTCTGCAGGGGAAAGCCACAGCCTACTTTTGACCAGGTTTGTCTCTCATTTCTTCCTGAGTTTGTCCTTATGATCAAGGAAGATTATGTAATTTCTCTGATCTCTCAAGAACTGGTTAGCCCAGGACTTCCGGCCCTTGAACGCCTGATTCACTCGACTAATGAGGAAGTGTTGACGGATGCCTGTTGGGCCCTCTCTTATCTTTCTGATGGCACAAATGACAAATGACATATTGAGGCCGGTGTTGTTCCTCGACTTGTGGAGCTTCTCCAGTGAGTTTTTTAAATCCTGTGATTCACATTACTTTTGGACATGATATTGTGCTAACAAATATCAATGAATTTTGGTTCGCTGTAGGCATCCATCACCATCTGTGCTTATTCCTGCCCTCCGTAGCATCGGTAACATTTTCACTGGTGATGATGCACAGACACAGGTATAGTTAATCTTCTATAGCTTTCTACTCATCAGATTGAGTAACCTTGAGAATGTTAGCTTTACCTCTGGAACGGGATCTATCATTTCTTTCTAAGTTTGTTCAGACACAAATCCAATAATCTAAATTGGGTTCAAGTCAAAACCACTGGAGAGTCGTGTGCAAATCAATTGGTCATTCCTTGACTCCAATGAAGAAATTCAGAATACTCATAATGGTGGTGATGATGATGATGTTGCCAAAGAATTCAGTTTTTGGAAATTTCGGACTAAATTTACCACACTTTCTCATGGTATGATTAATGATTCTATCTTATCACTTGAGATTTGATTTTTTTTTTTTACCTGTTAAAAAAAATTATAGATTTCTCTTTACCTATGGATATCCAATTCGTTGATGTTTTGTAGATTTTGAAGTTTCCTAAGTTTTTTAATTGTTTATAATTCAGCACTAAGCGATACTCTTTAAGTTTTATTGTCCTGAAACAGCGAATAGAAAATGTTACCTTCTAAACTGGTTTCATGATTGCGTGGTTTGCAGGGGATAAGGCATGTTTAGATAGACTGTGGTGATTCAAATCAAATTGTGCACTATATTTGGCAATTCCCCCTTAATTAAATCTAAAAGAAAAATACACAAACTTTTTTTTATTCCAAAAATATACATTGACTAATTTTGGAACCTATATTAATACACAAATTTCAAAATTTGGTAACTTTTCAACCAAGATTATCAGCTCCGTTATTCTATATCGCCACGTCAGCGCAGGAGAGATGGCCACATGGCAGTTCTAAAAAATCTCCCAAATTCTCTCCTCCTCCCCTCTCTCTCCTCTTTTACGTCTGAAAATTAAATACCAAAACTCATCGTCTCCTCTTCCTCTTCTCTGCTCCGTTTTAGATTCTTGGAAACATTCAGTGAATCTTCTAACTTTCACAAACTCAATCATTTTCATCTTCAAGCAGAAGAAGCGTCGCGAAGGTCTTCAAGCCACGCAGCAACCTCAGTTCGCTCCTTCCGCCGATTCTGCTGCTTCTACCGTCGACAAAAAGGTGAAATCACTATGGATCTGGATTCCGATTTTAAGGATTAGTGTTGGATTTTGAACTAATTTAGATCGTTTCCGATTTGTCTTCGTAGTTGGAGAGTTTGCCTTCCATGATTGGTGGTGTATGGTCGAAGGAGAGAAACTTACAGCTCGAAGCGACTACTCAGTTCCGGAAACTGCTTTCTATTGGTAAATTTTGCTATTATCTGTATGTGGTTTTAAGCTTAGATTCGATTCCACAAGTTCTTGAGATGACTTTTGTGTGTGTTTTACTTTGGTAGAGCGTAGTCCTCCAATCGAGGAGGTGATAGAAGCTGCTGTTGTGCCTCGGTTTGTGGAGTTTCTCATGAGGGAGGATTATCCACAGCTCCAGGTTTGGTGCATCCATCATGTATCTGTCACATTTGTGTACAACAGATTAGGCTGTTGGTTTCTCAGAGTGATGACGTCCTTGAGCAGGTAAAGTTTGCGATTATGATATTTGGTCATTACAGAATTTCAGTGACTAAGTATCTTCTAGAGTTTTTGTAGTCTTAATCTGTTTATGTGGAAGGCTGTTTGGGCATTAGGGAATGTTGCTGGTGACTCTCCACGATGCAGAGATCTTGTACTAAGTCAGGGAGCTTTGTTACCACTACTTTCTTAGTTGAATGAGCATGCTAAACTTTCAATGCTGAGAAATGCTACTTGGACCCTCTCAAACTTCTGCAGGGGAAAGCCACAGCCTACTTTTGACCAGGTTTGTCTCTCATTTCTTCCTGAGTTTGTCCTTATGATCAAGGAAGATTATGTAATTTCTCTGATCTCTCAAGAACTGGTTAGCCCAGGACTTCCGGCCCTTGAACGCCTGATTCACTCGACTAATGAGGAAGTGTTGACGGATGCCTGTTGGGCCCTCTCTTATCTTTCTGATGGCACAAATGACATATTGAGGCCGGTGTTGTTCCTCGACTTGTGGAGCTTCTCCAGTGAGTTTTTTAAATCCTGTGATTCACATTACTTTTGGACATGATATTGTGCTAACAAATATCAATGAATTTTGGTTCGCTGTAGGCATCCATCACCATCTGTGCTTATTCCTGCCCTCCGTAGCATCGGTAACATTTTCACTGGTGATGATGCACAGACACAGGTATACTTAATCTTCTATAGCTTTCTACTCATCAGATTGAGTAACCTTGAGAATGTTAGCTTTACCTCTGGAACGGGATCTATCATTTCTTTCTAAGTTTGTTCAGACACAAATCCAATAATCTAAATTGGGTTCAAGTCAAAACCACTGGAGAGTCGTGCGCAAATCAATTGGTCATTCCCTGGCTCCAATGAAGAAATTCAGAATACTCATAATGGTGGTGATGATGATGATGTTGCCAAAGAATTCAGTTTTTGGAAATTTCGGACTAAATTTACCACACTTTCTCATGGTATGATTAATGATTCTATCTTATCACTTGAGATTTGATTTTTTTTTTTACCTGTTAAAAAAAATTATAGATTTCTCTTTACCTATGGATATCCAATTCGTTGATGTTTTGTAGATTTTGAAGTTTCCTAAGTTTTTTAATTGTTTATAATTCAGCACTAAGCGAAACTCTTTAAGTTTTATTGTCCTGAAACAGCGAATAGAAAATGTTACCTTCTAAACTAGTTTCATGATTGCGTGGTTTGCAGGGGATAAGGCAGGTTTAGATAGACTGTGGTGATTCAAATCAAATTGTGCACTATATTTGGCAATTCCCCCTTAATTAAATCTAAAAGAAAAATACACAAACTTTTTTTTATTCCAAAAATATACATTGACTAATTTTGGAACCTATATTAATACACAAATTTCAAAATTTGGTAACTTTTCAACCAAGATTATCAGCTCCGTTATTCTATATCGCCACGTCAGCGCAGGAGAGATGGCCACGTGGCAGTTCTAAAAAATTTCCCAAATTCTCTCCTCCTCCCCTCTCTCTCCTCTTTTACGTCTGAAAATTAAACACCAAAATTCATCGTCTCCTCTTCCTCTTCTCTGCTCCGTTTTAGATTCTTGGAAACATTCAGTGAATCTTCTAACTTTCACAAACTCAATCATTTTCATCTTCAAGCAGAAGAAGCGTCGCGAAGGTCTTCAAGCCACGCAGCAACCTCAGTTCGCTCCTTCCGCCGATTCTGCTGCTTCTACCGTCGACAAAAAGGTGAAATCACTATGGATCTGGATTCCGATTTTAAGGATTAGTGTTGGATTTTGAACTAATTTAGATCGTTTCCGATTTGTCTTCGTAGTTGGAGAGTTTGCCTTCCATGATTGGTGGTGTATGGTCGAAGGAGAGAAACTTACAGCTCGAAGCGACTACTCAGTTCCGGAAACTGCTTTCTATTGGTAAATTTTGCTATTATCTGTATGTGGTTTTAAGCTTAGATTCGATTCCACAAGTTCTTGAGATGACTTTTGTGTGTGTTTTACTTTGGTAGAGCGTAGTCCTCCAATCGAGGAGGTGATAGAAGCTGGTGTTGTGCCTCGGTTTGTGGAGTTTCTCATGAGGGAGGATTATCCACAGCTCCAGGTTTGGTGCATCCATCATGTATCTGTCACATTTGTGTACAACAGATTAGGCTGTTGGTTTCTCAGAGTGATGATGTCCTTGAGCAGGTAAAGTTTGCGATTATGATTTTTGGTCATTACAGAATTTCAGTGACTAAGTATCTTCTAGAGTTTTTGTAGTCTTAATCTGTTTATGTGGAAGGCTGTTTGGGCATTAGGGAATGTTGCTGGTGACTCTCCACGATGCAGAGATCTTGTACTAAGTCAGGGAGCTTTGTTACCACTACTTTCTCAGTTGAATGAGCATGCTAAACTTTCAATGCTGAGAAATGCTACTTGGACCCTCTCAAACTTCTGCAGGGGAAAGCCACAGCCTACTTTTGACCAGGTTTGTCTCTCATTTCTTCCTGAGTTTGTCCTTATGATCAAGGAAGATTATGTAATTTCTCTGATCTCTCAAGAACTGGTTAGCCCAGGACTTCCGGCCCTTGAACGCCTGATTCACTCGACTAATGAGGAAGTGTTGACGGATGCCTGTTGGGCCCTCTCTTATCTTTCTGATGGCACAAATGACAAAATCCAATATGTCATTGAGGCCGGTGTTGTTCCTCGACTTGTGGAGCTTCTCCAGTGAGTTTTTTAAATCCTGTGATTCACATTACTTTTGGACATGATATTGTGCTAACAAATATCAATGAATTTTGGTTCGCTGTAGGCATCCATCACCATCTGTGCTTATTCCTGCCCTCCGTAGCATCGGTAACATTTTCACTGGTGATGATGCACAGACACAGGTATACTTAATCTTCTATAGCTTTCTACTCATCAGATTGAGTAACCTTGAGAATGTTAGCTTTACCTCTGGAACGGGATCTATCATTTCTTTCTAAGTTTGTTCAGACACAAATCCAATAATCTAAATTGGGTTCAAGTCAAAACCACTGGAGAGTCGTGCGCAAATCAATTGGTCATTCCCTGGCTCCAATGAAGAAATTCAGAATACTCATAATGGTGGTGATGATGATGATGTTGCCAAAGAATTCAGTTTTTGGAAATTTCGGACTAAATTTACCACACTTTCTCATGGTATGATTAATGATTCTATCTTATCACTTGAGATTTGATTTTTTTTTTTACCTGTTAAAAAAAATTATCGATTTCTCTTTACCTATGGATATCCAATTCGTTGATGTTTTGTAGATTTTGAAGTTTCCTAAGTTTTTTAATTGTTTATAATTCAGCACTAAGCGATACTCTTTAAGTTTTATTGTCCTGAAACAGCGAATAGAAAATGTTACCTTCTAAACTAGTTTCATGATTGCGTGGTTTGCAGGGGATAAGGCAGGTTTAGATAGACTGTGGTGATTCAAATCAAATTGTGCACTATATTTGGCAATTCCCCCTTAATTAAATCTAAAAGAAAAATACACAAACTTTTTTTTATTCCAAAAATATACATTGACTAATTTTGGAACCTATATTAATACACAAATTTCAAAATTTGGTAACTTTTCAACCAAGATTATCAGCTCCGTTATTCTATATCGCCACGTCAGCGCAGGAGAGATGGCCACGTGGCAGTTCTAAAAAAACTCCCAAATTCTCTCCTCCTCCCCTCTCTCTCCTCTTTTACGTCTGAAAATTAAACACCAAAACTCATCGTCTCCTCTTCCTCTTCTCTGCTCCGTTTTAGATTCTTGGAAACATTCAGTGAATATTCTAACTTTCACAAACTCAATCATTTTCATCTTCAAGCAGAAGAAGCGTCGCGAAGGTCTTCAAGCCACGCAGCAACCTCAGTTCGCTCCTTCCGCCGAATCTGCTGCTTCTACCATCGACAAAAAGGTGAAATCACTATGGATCTGGATTCCGATTTTAAGGATTAGTGTTGGATTTTGAACTAATTTAGATCGTTTCCGATTTGTCTTCGTAGTTGGAGAGTTTGCCTTCCATGATTGGTGGTGTATGGTCGAAGGAGAGAAACTTACAGCTCGAAGCGACTACTCAGTTCCGGAAACTGCTTTCTATTGGTAAATTTTGCTATTATCTGTATGTGGTTTTAAGCTTAGATTCGATTCCACAAGTTCTTGAGATGACTTTTGTGTGTGTTTTACTTTGGTAGAGCGTAGTCCTCCAATCGAGGAGGTGATAGAAGCTGGTGTTGTGCCTCGGTTTGTGGAGTTTCTCATGAGGGAGGATTATCCACAGCTCCAGGTTTGGTGCATCCATCATGTATCTGTCACATTTGTGTACAACAGATTAGGCTGTTGGTTTCTCAGAGTGATGACGTCCTTGAGCAGGTAAAGTTTGCGATTATGATTTTTGGTCATTACAGAATTTCAGTGACTAAGTATCTTCTAGAGTTTTTGTAGTCTTAATCCGTTTATGTGGAAGGCTGTTTGGGCATTAGGGAATGTTTCTGGTGACTCTCCACGATGCAGAAATCTTGTACTAAGTCAGGGAGCTTTGTTACCACTACTTTCTTAGTTGAATGAGCATGCTAAACTTTCAATGCTGAGAAATGCTACTTGGACCCTCTCAAACTTCTGCAGGGGAAAGCCACAGCCTACTTTTGACCAGGTTTGTCTCTCATTTCTTCCTGAGTTTGTCCTTATGATCAAGGAAGATTATGTAATTTCTCTGATCTCTCAAGAACTGGTTAGCCCAGGACTTCCGGCCCTTGAACGCCTGATTCACTCGACTAATGAGTAAGTGTTGACGGATGCCTGTTGGGCCCTTTCTTATCTTTCTGATGGCACAAATGACAAAATCCAATATGTCATTGAGGCCGGTGTTGTTCCTCGACTTGTGGAGCTTCTCCAGTGAGTTTTTTAAATCCTGTGATTCACATTACTTTTGGACATGATATTGTGCTAACAAATATCATTGAATTTTGGTTCGCTGTAGGCATCCATCACCATCTGTGCTTATTCCTGCCCTCCGTAGCATCGGTAACATTTTCACTGGTGATGATGCACAGACACAGGTATACTTAATCTTCTATAGCTTTCTACTCATCAGATTGAGTAACCTTGAGAATGTTAGCTTTACCTCTGGAACGGGATCTATCATTTCTTTCTAAGTTTGTTCAGACACAAATCCAATAATCTAAATTGGGTTCAAGTCAAAACCACTGGAGAGTCGTGCGCAAATCAATTGGTCATTCCCTGACTCCAATGAAGAAATTCAGAATACTCATAATGGTGGTGATGATGATGATGTTGCCAAAGAATTCAGTTTTTGGAAATTTCGGACTAAATTTACCACACTTTCTCATGGTATGATTAATGATTCTATCTTATCACTTGAGATTTGATTTTTTTTTTTACCTGTTAAAAAAAATTATAGATTTCTCTTTACCTATGGATATCCAATTCGTTGATGTTTTGTA